CATCTTTATTTCGACATAACTTTAAATTTCGACATAACTTTGAATTTCGGCATTTCGACAATTAAATTTTATTTGTCAAAATAGTATTTAATAATTTCGGCTTGACAGGTTGCCGAAATTCCTGAATTTCGGCAAGCATCCTTAGTTTCAATATAACTTATAGAGGAATAGCTATACATTTGCTCTATCAACTGGATCTGTATGAAGCATATACTACTCTTAATTATTCAAAACATGCTCATATAGACAAAAACTTTTTGAAATATGTCTGGGCCTAGGGATGGGACCCAAACCTTATATGGAAAATTGATACTTACGGCAGTTTGGGATACAGTTTAACATTTTTGACAAAATCTCAATATGCCGACAAATCCCAAACTGCCTGTCAAATTCCAATATTTGGTTAAATATCAAATTAAGTGTAAAATTCCAAATATCTGGCTAAATCCCAAAGTGTTGGCAAAAAAATTGTTGCATGGTTTTATTAAATTAAGAATCCTAATACTTTTTCAATAAAATGCAATTTCATTTCTAGAAAATATTTCCTATAATTTTGCTCTCTGATCAGAGAATGAAATTTGGAATTGAGAAATAAAACTACATTATATGCACCAGGTATATAGATGGGTAATTAGATCAGAGAAAATTTAACCAAACTGAATATACAGAATAAAAATCTAACAGGGGAACATGGGAGAACAATTAACTGAACTATTATTCATTAACGTATATTACGATATAAATGGTTGCAACATTTACAAATACCTTAAATGGCATGCATTCATATATTCTGATTTGGACGGCATCACAAGGAATCTTCCAGCACATGATTTTTAAATCAGACTGTCCGTCTGATTGGACAATAAGTATATACTTTTAGAATTAGCCAGCACATGATTTTTGCCATAGGGCATCGATTAAGGATAGGAATCAATTCTTAATCCAGAATCAATTATAAAATTGATTAATAAAATCGATTAATCATTTTAAATAGATTCGATTAATTGATCGATTTTCAAGTAGATCTGTTCTATCACTATGTATTTAATCGATTTTGTTTATGAAATTAGACATTCAGGTGGAACTGATACGGTGAGAATTGTCAATATTTGCATGCAATTTGTGAAGAATTGGATAGGAATCGATTTTCAACCCAAAATCAATTCTCGAGCACAAAGTATATACGACGATGATGACAGCAATAATGACGATGACAGCAATGTCATAACTGATCTTTGATTTATTTTTCATTGCATGTTGATTTTTTTTCCCTTTTCATTGGAATAGTTGAAGTTGTACTTTGATTAGTTGAAGTTATAATTTGATTAGTTGAAATTATGCTTTGATTAGTTGAATTTGTAGAGATACTACGTAGTATAGAAGCAATTGAAGTATTGTTATCAGACTGAGATTTCGATCAATATTAGTTACTTTTGGCATTAGTATCATTATTAAAGTTATTAAACTTTATATTGGCATGATAATTATCAATCTTAACATTTTTGTTAAAGATAGAGTACGTGTGCTATATCATTTGTATATTTTTTACATGTGAAAATCATGATTTCCAATCACGAACACGATTTATGCATTATCGTTATCATTATTAATCGATTTTGTAAAATCGATTCTTAAATTTTCAAATATTAATCGATTCTAAGAATCAATTTCGATTCTACTGTTACTGTCAATGAACAAACTTCTCCAATTACAGTTTTTCAGGATAAACAGCAGAAGACAATCCATAAATATCATTAACGTCGGATGAATGTATCTACAATGTTGTTAATTTCCAAAATCAGTAGATCTTTTGGTTGATAACAAAAAATCAACTGATCGACTGTAATCAAAGTCAATTAATCGATTTTTGATATAACATTCTATATTTAGTAATATCTAATGCGCTAAAAATTGACCAAAGTCAAATTTTCAACTTAGATTTTTAGTTCAATAATAATAAAAATTATAAATTTAATAACTGCACATTCTTCATTAATTACTATCTACATACATGTATATTAACTTCCTTTTTTAGTATGTTATACTAAAAATCAACCAAGCCAATTTTTTCAAATCAACCAACTAGACTGAAAAATCAATTTTGGTCAATTTTTTGATTATCAGCCAGAATCACAATTGTCAATAATATTGCTATTTTCCTAATCTGGTAGATTTTTCAGCAAATTCTCATCCCGAGTAACAATAATACGGTTGGTAGATATTATGTATAGGATAACAACTGCAACGATTGTTAATAATGCAGTTGACTTTATAGCATAATGATAACAACTACTAATTCTCATCGTTGTGCTAACAAAAACAATGAGCTTCCTTTTTTGGTAAATAGCACAAATTCTCATTAGTCTCCACGTCTTTTTACGTCAATTTGCAGCATTTATCATCATTTTTCAGCATTCTCCTCAGTATTTATCATCACCTTATGATATCTTTCAGCATCTCCTCATCATCTTTCGTCATCTTCTCATCATTTTTAGCGTCTTCAGTATATTTTCATCAGTTTTCAATTCGTCTTACATCAATAGATGTTAACGTTGTTCATTATAGATTTTTTTATTAATAGCCAAAGTAATATTAAAAGTAACAAACGTGATAACACAAAAAAATGTATAAAAGAACAGTCTTCGGAATGCTAAAAAGATAGAATTAAATTCTTCAAGAGAATAAAATTTGTGTATAATTCTTCTCCAAGCAAAATTAAACTTGAATTCTTGCATACAATTATTCCCCCAAGTAAATTATTGCTTGTAAAACTCTTCCTCTTTCCTCATTAATTGTTATATTATTTGATGATTAGGTTCTTTGTACCAGAAAATATATTATTTTTCATAAAATCATCGTACTATTATTAAGAAATTACCTAAAACACATAATCTCTCCTCCAAATTAACATAATCAACGATATCCGTAGATATTAATCTATCAATCACTTTCAAAGTCTTTTTGTGACATAAATATTCCAATTCGCTAAAACAAAATATAACCATACATTATTACAAAACTTGTTTATGTGTTATTCATATGTGGTTTTACTTTGTTATATACCATTTCATTTGTCTATATACTGTTTCATTTGTCTATATGCTATTTTATTTGTCTATATTCTATTTTATTTGTCTATATACCATTTCACTTGTCTATATATTATTTCACTTTATTGATATGCTGTCTCATTTGTTTACATGTTGTCTCATTTGTTTATATGTCATTACACTTTTCTTATATGCAGTTTCACTTTATTTATATGCCATCTCACCCCTTTTAAATTTTTTATTAGCATAAAAAACCAAACTGTCAGCACATGATATTAAAATCTATAAAACGTTTATAAAAAGAAGGTCAGATTTTTTGTAATAACAACTTATGAAATCCAGAAACTCACCAGCAGATAGGTTTGTAATTTGTTCATTTAACTATATTTCATAAGAATTTATTAATAAGCTTTCGTATAGTTTTGAAATCGTAGAAGAAAGTAATGCTACAAGTTCTACTGGCAATATATCGAACCAATCGATGCTAGTTAAAGGAAAGGCACCTATAAAAAAAAAGATTATAAATAAAGGAGGTCGGCCAAGATCAATTGTTTGGGAACACTTTACCAAGGATCTACCTGATCGGTTTGGTTATTACAGAGCCATTTGCCAATACTGTAACCAACATTGGTCTAGAAGAAAACTGACTGTTATGAAAAGTCATCTCGCATTACATTGTAAAAAAGTGCCAGATGATATCAACAATTTATTCTTACGGTTAATTGCAGAAAAAGCTGAAAAGTTAGTGGATGAAGATAATATAGATGATAATATAGATGATAATATTCTCTTAACAATCAACAAAAAGCATAAATATATTAGTAAACAAGCAACTCTTGATAGCTCCTTCAAATCTACAGAATCTGTTAATAAAGATCGTAAAAAAACTATTGATCGTGCTTTGATTAAGATCTTTGTTTGTTGTGGAATTCCATGAAAAATTATTGATAACTCTTTTTTTATCAATCTTTTAAGAATTTTGGGGTCTGGTTATGAACCACCACATTGACATACTCTTTCTGAACAACTTTTAAATAAAGAACATGCATTAGTAACAGTTAAAATTACAAAAGCTCTTACAAATCAACAAAACTTAACTCTGGCATTGGATGGCTGTTTAACATCAACAAACAATTCATTATACGATTATATTATAGCAACACCTGAACGAAAAGAATATCTGATCACCATTGAAGATTACTCGACAAATTCTCAAACTGGCATTTATATGACAGACAAAATAAGTACGATTATTGAAAAAATTGGTTCATCAAAAGTGACCGCTTTAGTTACAGACAATGATGAAAATGTCCGAGTTGCACGACAAATTATACATGAAACTTATTCACAAATTATGAATATTCGTTGCATTGCCCATGCTCTAAACTTAATTTTAACTGATTTGGTTAAATTAGAACTTATCAAAAAAACATTGACCAATGCTAGTATTATAATTAGCTTTTTTAAAACCTCTTATACTGCTGGTCATTTATTATGAAAAGAAATCAAAAATAGCAATATTCGTGGTGAAAATTTGGAAACCTTTGTAAAAACCAGATGGACATTAGCTTTTAATATAACCAATTCTCTTGTACGTATCAAACCAATTTTTGATAAAATTTTAGAAGAAAATCAAAATATAATTACAAATAAAACAGTTTTACACTTATTAAAAGATGATGAAAACACTTTTTTCAGTACTTGCCGTCGAATTGTCATTATTTTTCATCTAATCAAAGAGATAATTGATTTTTTAGAATCAAAAATAGCTAATTTTGCTGACTGTTTCATTGGATTAGCCAAGTTAGCTGCAACAATCAAGAGAATTCCTTCTAGCAATCCTATAAAAATATCAGCTATTGAAATATTTAATAATCGATATACTGAATTTGATATAGATATTTTTACTTTGGCATATTATCTTCATTCTCAATATCATGATCGTGGCTTGAAAATGAGAAAATTTATTGAACTTTGCAAACTTTGTCTCAAAATATATTCTCAACAATTTCATGATGAAATCGAATGCAAAGAATTAATGAGCCAGCTTTGTCAATATAAGACTAAAGATCCACCATTTGATTTTCCCTATAAAGACATTTTTCAGACACCAATAATGTGATGGAATGTCATTGATGATAATTATCCTTATTTACAAACAGTTGCTAAAATGATTTTTTCAATTACTCCTTTTCAAGCTTCTTGTGAACAAAATTTTTTCATTCTCAAATAAAATGATTTTGCAAAGATAACAGAACTCGTTTAAATACTTTAAAATTAGAAGCAATAGCAAAAATTCATTCTTGGTATATTTCTAATATTACTAAAGAATTATAATATTATAATAAGGAATTATCATTGAAAGATCTTTTTCAAAGTGTATTAGAACAAACTGTATTTTCTACTTTAGAGAATTCACAAAATTCAACTGAAGAAGATATTAATTTTGTTTCGCATGATCTTTCAATTGTAACAAATAGTTCTAGTAATACTTTATTTATTGAAACTCTTCTTGATTTAACTGATTCTATTTTTTCTGAAGATAATATTGATAATAATATACTCAGATCTAATAATATAAAAGGACAAGGAAATATGAATTTTAATATAGATAATATTGTATCTAGTTATGAATAATTTAACTAATAAATATATTTTTTAACATTTTATAATTTAATTTGTAATAATTAGGAATAATTTGGAATTGGGAATAATTTGGGATTGGGAATAATTTGGGATTATGTCATATCCCAAATATTTGAAATATATGGCAATTGATTCTTTAATTCCCAAACTAATTTAGCCAAGTTTTGGAAATGACAAATGACAAAACCTTATAGTTTGGGTTCCATCCCTACTCCCAACATCATATGCTTATAGTGATTCTTAGTGAAATCCACTATTCAGAATCACTATAATATATTTTTGGTGCTCTCTCTATGAAAATAAAAACCCATACTCTCCTTATATATTATTATTACTTCCTTTATAACTCTTTATATTATTCAAATATTTAAAAATAATTGTATTTTGAGTTTTCATGACCAATTATTATTTATTTGTTGGATTATCTATTGATTACCATTTAGACATATATAGAAATCCTGATTTTAATAATCAAATTCCCCTACAACACTTTTGTTTTTTTTGCCATCACCTTCAAGAAGTCTTTTCACTTCAATTTTTCACCTTTCGAATTATAATTGAAAATATTGGAGCAGTCTCTTTAAATCAAATCACATATTTGTTATTCAACAAATTAACTCAAATCAACTTTGGAGAAGTACATCCTACTCGACTCAGACAAAGAATAGTCCAATTATTAAACACTTTATTATTTGATCAAGTAACTACTCAAAAAAAACAACTTGAATTAATAGAACACTTTTATCAACAATTTATCACACAAGATTTTTCATTACAAACCAATTCAAGAACACCTAGTCATAATAGTAAAATTGACAAATACTATTCTGAAATTAGAAACTCAGAAGATACATCATTTCCAGAACAAATCATACTAAATTCAGAATCTGAAAATAACTCAGAACCAGAAGAAACACAAAAATAATCAAAAAAGAAGATAATAACCAAATGGCTAATGTTGATACCTTAGTTGCAGCTCTTGGAGTCTTAATTGATAGAATGGCTGAACAAATTAACCGTCTAACTGAAAAAATTATTATTCCTATTTGAAAATATTGTGGAAATAATCATAATCCTACAGAATGGTTAAAAGACTTTAATATTGCTACTCAAGCCAATGGAATTACTGATGCAAGAAAAGTACAACTTGTTCATGGATATTTAGAAGGTGCTGCTGCCCTTTGGTATGATAAAAGAGAAAAGATAATACCACTCGATTGACAGCTTGGAATAATCATGCAGACATATCATAGCTTCAGTCATCAATTTGCTGCTCACTTCTGAACCAGAAAAGAGTAGATCAATGGCAAGATGAAATTAAAACCTTACAACAAACAGGTAGTATAGAAGAATACACAGACAAATTCATCAATCTGCTTCATAAAGTAGATTCTGAGAATGCATATTTAGAAGAATACAAAATCCAAACATATAGACGAGGACTTAAACCTGAACTTCGAAAATGGGTACAAATAACAACAGATGGAACCTTTGAACATATGGTAAAAGTTACCAAGAATGTAGAAAAAGCTGATACAGATTCTCCAACTCATGGATATCATCAATCACAAATCCAAGATGACTCAACATTGAATGCTATTTTGATAGCACTTCAAGGACTCAATTGATGAATTGAAAATGTAGAATTTACTAGAAGACCAAATTACAATGAAAATAATTTCAACTTCAAACCAAATAATCAAAATTTTAGTAATGCTCATACATGTTATAATTGTAGTAAGCAAGGACACATTCGCCCTAATTGTACAAAGTCTCAACCATCCAGAAATAATCAAAACAACTTTGAAAATAATCATCCAAGACCAAATGAAAATAATCAGCAACAAAATAACTTGTCTCCAAATTGATCCAATTCTGGAAACAATCAAAATATGAATAACAATCAAATAGTATTACTAGCTCAAATACAAGCTCTCACTGATAGTATTCAGACATTAAACACTCAACCAGACAATGTAAACTCTTTGCTTGATAAACATGAATACTTGGCTGCTGATAGAAAGACTAAAAATTCTAAAGCTACTCCATATGGAACCAGACCT